TCTCAGAAAAGAAAGAAGAGGAAGAAAATCCCTTTATATCTGCAAATGTATTAGATTGTTCAAAAAAATATGAATAAGAGATTTTTAAATTTCTTGCTCAACAGGTGAATGTTTTGAAATGTTAGTACTATATATTTGTGTACTATCTTAATACGTATTCATTTTAGTATTTTAATATGTTTACTTATGGAATTATCGCGGCGTAAATGTTCTAAATATGGCTGCATCTGACATCTCAACAGAATTATACGAAATTTGTCTTAAAAACGAGCATATCTGGATTTCTTCCACCATAATATTTTAATGATTTCATTAATCAATCATTTCACTAAATTGAGGATTTCTCAATCCTTTTCCATTTTCGTCTACCGATTAATCTAACATTAGTGAGACATTTTTTATTTTTTAACACTTTCTTTTTTTTCTTAGTGAGATATGGTGAGACATTCATTTCTACGTAGCTGCTGGAAAAGTTTCTGCAATCTAGTACTTTCAGTGGCACCAACGTTCTGCTACTATACTATCATATCCGTAAAATTAGACGTTTTTAACCTATAATTCAGTTGACAGTTTGTACTCAAGCCAACTAGCTTTGTTTGCATAATATTGTAAAAGAAGTTATTTTGTGAGAAAATGGAAATTTCGCGTGAAAATTTTCGGGCAATGATTTTTTACGATTACAAATGTAATCTAACTCCGAAACAATGCATCGATCGACTTCATTTGGCTTTTGGGGATGAAGCACCATCCAATAGGACTGTTTATAATTGGTTTGCCGAATTCCAGCGTGGACGTACCTTTCTTTGTGACGAATTTCGTGAGGGTCGTCCATCCACGTCTGTTGTTGCCACTAATGTTGATGCTGTGCGTGAAATGATTGAGCGAGACCGACATATGACATACCGCGAGATTCAGGCATTCTTAGGCATTGACATGAAATCAATACATACGATTTTGCATGATCACTTGAGCGTACGGAAACTTTGCAGTCGTTGGATCCCACACAATTTGACCGGAGCTCAAAAACAGGCTCGTGTTAAATGGAGCAAAGAAATGCTCAAGAAATTCAACCGAGGTCGGTCAAATTTGGTCTACAACATCGTTACTGGGGACGAAATATGGATCTATTCGTATGAGCCCGAAAGTAATCAACAGTCCACTGTTTGGGTATTTCAAAATGAACCGAAACCAACAAAAGTTGTTCGTTCACGCAGTGCTGCCAAGCAAATGATTGCTTGTTTCTTCGGTTATACCGGACATGTGGCAATCGTGGCTTTAGAGGATCGAAAGACTGTAAATACCGATTGGTATACAACAATTTGTTTGCCAGAAGTCATAAATGAATTGCGTAGAACAAACCGAAATCGTCGCATCATCCTTCATCATGACAACGCCAGCTGTCACACAGCACGTCAAACCGTTGATTTTTTATCCAGTAAAAATGTCGAATTGACTCATTGTCCATATTCACCTGATTTATCACCTAATGACTTCTTTTTGTTCCCAAACATTAAAAAAAAGATGCGTGGTGAGCGATTTGAATCGCCTGAAGCAGCTGTTGAAACATTTCGTACACTGATTTCTGAGATTACAGCCTCAGAGTGGAAAAAATGCTTCGAAGATTGGTTCAAGCGTATGCAAAAATGTATCGATCTTAAAGGCGAATATTTCGAAAAATAATTACCGAATTTTACATGTTTTTTTTCATATTGTTTGCAGAAACTTTTCCAGCAGCCTACGTATTAGAATAATTGCTCATCTTAACGTTCCACAATATTGCGCAATGTTATGACTCTAATGCGGGGAAGAATGTGAGCGAAGATACGAATGCTTTTTTGATGCGTCTTAATTTTGTAGTCTGTTTTCCGTAGGCATTTAGAGAAACATTTCCATTTTCTTCTTTTTCCATGACACATGCGCTGAATATTTTCTTGGTATGAGAATCCCATCTTACGAACAATGGGAATACGTTTCTATCGCGCGATTTGTAATCTTACTCTTAGATAAGCAACCGAATTATAAATAACGGTGCAATAAACTTAACAATATGTGTCCTCTCGCGATATTATGCGATGCTATTGTATTAGGATTATCGCTCTTGAACTATATAAAACGTTTTTAATTTTCTTTTTACTTTTAAGATTTGTGTTTATTATTTTGTTAAATGTTAATATATTTGTAAATTCGTAGCATATTTAAATCGAGTTGTACATGTAAATCGAATTTTCCTTGAGAAGAGATCTCTCTAGGAACATTAATCGTTTAGAATCAGATCGCTGGAAATGTAGACCCGCGATTGACTGCGGTACTTAATATTATACACATTATTAATTATCGTCACTGTCGTTACAATCAGGGTCATGTCTCATAAAAACTAGCTGAAAGTTCCAAAAGATGTTGAAAAATAAACACGGCCTTGATTATATCTGTTACCATAATTGTGTCGTATATATCGAATCGGATACGAAAAGTTGAAAAAATAAAAAGCGGATATTTTTATGAACGTGCTCTATATATTTTTATTTCTTTCTCCTCCTTCATGTGTGTACGTGTACATGTTTGTACCATATATACATGATAAAATATTATTAGAAATTTAAAATTTCTATATGTGCAGATTTGTATGTGCGGTTTCCACAGCGTGGCGAGCATTGAGTCAATAAAAAAATAGCAATGGTACCGCGTACTGTTTACTAATTAATTAATGTAAATATGTTAATATGGAGAGAGAGAGAGAGAGAGAGAGAGAGAATTTTATAGATAAACAAAATATTAGAGAGCTGATAAAGATGGTTTGTGTTGCTCATTTTTTCATAAAATTAACGAAAAAATATAATTTAATTTTTCTCAATGTGGTCCACCTTTTGAAAAAATCTCAAAAAAATATATTTTGTAGAAAGTTGAACAGAAATTCACATGAAATTTTTTTAAGGTGGTCAATCAACGGAATTGGGGTGAAAAAATGTTTAAATGTTATTTTTATTTTTTTCAGAATTGAAATTCGCATTGAAAAAAATTTTTTTAGATCCTCATTAGTGTTTTGAAGTAACCAATTTTTCAGAATTTTTTCAGAATTTTATTTGAATTTTTACTAAATTAAATTCATAAATTTGTAAAAAATCGTTTTTTCTCTCTCTCTCTCTAACTTGATCAGGTCTCCATATAGAAATCTAAAATTTGATATGCAAGCGTCTTTTTATATGAGTAACCTTAAAGAAAGATCAATTCTAAAAGTTCTGGGGCATTTTTACCGTACTTATTCCGCTAGGTCCTTTCGTGCACTCTATTGTAGCAAAAAGTACCAACAACGCATGCGCATGAGACCAAATATGTGACCCCGCATGTTCAATCGCAATATTTCGTAGGTGTGACAGATTTCCTAACCTAAATAGTCGTCAATTTTAAAATTAATATCTTGATTCACGAGGTAGAGCGATGTTTTTTTCTGCCAGATCCGTTCATTTCGCATTGAATAAGCATTCCTGGTAAAAACAAAAATTGATAGAGAACAATAGGATTTCTATTAATTTGTATCGTTTTCTATAAATTTATATCATTTTCTATCATCAACATCAGATTGATCGGATATGAATATCCTATCATATTTTATCGGGTTCTATAAGGTTTGTATAAGATTTCTATAAGATTTGATTAAAATTAGTGAATTCACGAACTAAATTCCATATTATTCAAAACGATACGATTTTTTTCTATCGTTCTCTAGAAATTTTTTTACCAAGGATTATTTCATCGTTTTTCTAGGTGACGTGGCTAAATTGAACATACACTTCTTTTTACAAATAAATAAATTCTTTTTGTAACGCGTCTGCGTCGACACAATTTTATTAACACAATAAATATTAATCTTGATAAATGTATATGCTGATGGTGGGAGTCAGCCCTGATGACCTTTTATGACATATGTTGTCAAGATGACGACCCTGAATGACTTTCAAGATTTTTGAAGGCTTTCAAGTTAATTGTCGCTCGTTATTAAAAAATGATTAACAAAAAAGGTTTAAAAAATAACGTCTTATTTCTGCTACATACAATATGTTAAGAACTACCCCACATCCTCCCATCCACTTCTTCTTTTTTGAGTTCTCCAATGAATTTGTGTTTCACTCGAGTGGATCAAACTATTGCGATTTAATGGATGAATCCAATGACAATGTCTTCTTGAGGACAGAGGAGACTCCATTTCTGCTTTTTTAAAATTTTGTGTTCGAATTACAACTTTTGGTCCAGTCGATGGACGGGTCTCCTACATCTACTTACGTAATAACTTTTCACGCGAAGCAAGGTTCACTCCACGCTTTCCCCCTGTCTAAGGGCGTTCGATTTTCCATGGAAAGTAAGGTCCACTCTGACATCTGCCTAAAGGCCTTCAACTTTCCATGGGAAACGAGGTGCACCGGCCCACATCTTCCCCCCCTTCTTGATTCATTTTAAATTAAAATGTACCACATATCCAATAAATATTCAATAAATATCTAATTATAAAAAATTTTATATAAAATCTAATATATTTTTACCCAGAGCTCTGCACTTGTTGAATGTGTGTTTAGTGCAGGACAACAAATTTTAACGTTGCGACAAAATAGTTTTTTTATTTTAATTGTTTAATGTTTTTGAAGAACAATGCATAAATGTTAAATGAATTATTTGAATAAAACTTATTAATAGCTTTATAAGTATTACTTCATTTTATGGTACATATTAAACCTATTCGCATAAAATATTTATGTATGCACATATAAAATACGTGTATATAATACATAAATACTATGTGCAAATATATGAGATCATAAAAGTCTGTTTACTTTAAAATTTTATGTTGATAAATAAAAGTACCTGTATCTAAGTTTTTGTTTTTCTAGTACTTATACCTGTGCCTAGGTATTGAAGATAAAGTACCTTGTACATCACTGAGAGTATATCCACGCACACTTGCATAGCCGCATTATATAATATGCATAAAGAAAATTATCCAATTGCATTTCTCTTTTAAAGTCGCATGTAAAATGTGATTGGATAATTTTCTTTATGCATATGTTTATACGGCTATGAAAGTTGTGTTGATATACCCTGACCATGCATTTGTTTCTTTTTTCAGAAGACCGAAGAATCTTCCCCCCCCCCCAAGTTACGAAAGAAAACAAGATACCCGGTGATTAGATAACACTATCATAAACTGAACATATATATTTCAACGCACAGTTTTCAGCAATATCATTCCTAGCTATTCTTTCGCTGTGTGCTAGTATACTGATTTTCAAGATGAATCAAAACGTGGAACCTCTGGATCCATCCAAAATAAACGTCGCATCAAGAACATTACATCAACCGCCTCTCGACGAGTTAATGAATGGTAATAATAAAGCGTTCTGAACAATAAGAAATCACGCAATAAGAAATCATAGCTGGTAATAATTATATAATATTTTTGTTATAATCATAGTCCTAGCAGAAGGATTGACTGCAAATTTTACGGAGGCTACTGTCGAGATGGCTGATTGTCCTAATTTTAGTGGATGGCCTTACAATTTTTATCGAGAAGGTATAAGAAAAACAACATAAGATACACTTGATCTTTCTCCAAATCTTACATTTTTTATTACTCCTTCAGGTTTGTGTGGTAATCCGATTCTTTTGGAAGTTGGTAGTCCAGCGTATCTTCTACCAACTGTCCAGAGAGACAAATTCTATGATGTTAAGTCGTTGCTACGACAGATAAATTACAATTATGATACTCTTGTCATTGGCGCAGGAGCTGGACCTTGGCCACATACAGGTTGCAATTGTGAGGTATGTATTAGTAATTGAGTTATCTTGATAGAATGAATAATCTGCTCTAATTTAAGAGAAAGTAAATATTTGTACAATATTTTTGTTATATTATATTTATTTTTCAGCTTATTATGAAATTAAATATAGTAAACGATAAAGTTTCGCCAGGGTATAGACTTGGCATGGGAGTGGCGAATGGAACGCATTATGCATTTGTTAATAAGTCTAATGGAGAGTGCATACTTCAACGGATAGTTGCCAATGAGGATGAAACAACTTTTGCATTGTTGGCTAATCTGTATGTGTGCGAAGGCAAACCTGGGAAAGTTATAAAAGTGCGCGCTAAAAAACGTACGGGCAAACTGGACTTCATATCATGCATGCAGAAAGCATTGGAAAAACATTATGAGGATAAGCTCGTAGGTAAGTCTATCACAAACTATCATATATAATAAAGTTAAACAATTGACTACTTGGTTGATTGTTGAATATCTGTAAACTTAGGTTTAGGTGGCATGTTCGAAGTAAGGAATGGAAAAGTAAAGCAGCATATTATGCCAGACTTTTCGGATACTCCGTTGACTAACGAGGCACAGCTTAATAACTGGTTACGTTTCTACGATATGGAGACTCCTCTGATAGCTGTTGGCACATTTGTTAGCGCCGAAACAGTAAGCTTTATATTCAATACGTATGATAAGAAAAAGAATATCTTCAAATTTTGAAAGCAACAGTCTATAAATTTATGTTAAACGATTATTCATTTGTTTTATTGTGAATTAAAATACTCGTTGCTTCTGTCTTTCAGGATTTAGATCTCAGGGTCCAGCATTTTCATAGTGCTTTTGATGAGAACAGATTGGGTGGACATTATCATATTGATACAACGCCGGATACGATCGAATACGAAGGCTACTTCAATGTGGCATCTACGCTTTACCGTGTCGATCAACCGCCCAACAAAATGCAGTTTGGGAAAGATTAACCTTGTATATATTGTTACATGTATATATATGTATATATTGTTACAGCAAGTTGGATTTTATGAAATAACTTTTATACCATTGAAATTGCCACGAACAGCAAAAGAAAATATGTTGATAATATATTTTGTTAGAATTTATACAAATTTATTTTAACATTCCTCTTTATATGATTAAGAAATAAACATAAAAATAAATATGATTTTGATAAATAAATATGCAGTTAATCGATTTCCTTATAAAATTGATTTGTAACATGGTTAAAAGATAAATTTACGTATAAACTATAAAGAAATTATATGAAATTGTCTTTCTTCAATTTTGGTAAATTTTGAGAATTTAATCTATATTTTTACAATATAATAGATGCAAAATTGCATTCTAATCTATGTGTAATAAATTGATTTTAACAACAAATAAAACAAATGTTCATAGAAAATAAGACAAAATTCATGTTAACTCTTTAGCAGATTGCAATTGAATAAAAATTACAATGCCTTTTCTTTAGATAATGCTTTTGTACAACTAATTCTCTATTTACGCACATTATTAAAACAAATCTAATATAAAATTTCATCAATTCGACAAATTTAAAATTAATTTAAGATCTCACAAAATATTGTTCCGAAATATTATTATTAATGTTGACCGATAACTGTTATAGTCTTATATTTTTGTTTTGCCTTTTTCTATAAAGTTTCGGCGAAAGATCGCATTCTTATCAAAGTCATTTATTATTAACATCTACACAGTTTAAGACGAGAATCATCATATTAACTGTATTAATATACATAATAATCAGATACTAAGCAGATTATAATTATATCATATATTTCGTTTAGCACCGACATTTATTTGATGAAGATTAATTATATTATATATGTACATCGCGCAGTAAGTAATATATTATATAATTAATGTGTGACTCGTTTCTTCCATCGCATCAGAATACACAAGATACTTTTATAAACTATTGAGAATAACTGTAACGAAGTTTATATGTACCAACAAGAATAATTTCCAATAAATCTCAATAATTTAAATAATCAGATTTTATAAAAAGTTACATCTATAAAAGTTTAAAAGATATATTGAAAAAAGATATGTTCTCCAAAGATTTATATTCCATTATTGTTATTTCATAAAGACAAGTTTTTTTTTACGGCAATCAGAAAATCTCAAAATTATTTCATATTTCATATAGTATTTAGTAATGCATTTTTTGTGAATATTTTCAAGATTTTTTTCAAGATTTAAAGCTACTGATAAATAATATGTGCTTGATTTTTATAATTTTTTTATTTAGGTACAAAGTTAGGTACAAATCTGTCCATGTACTTCACAGTTCTGATGTACCTAGTAGTCGCTAAAAAAGTAAGAAGATACCAGCTACGAGGAATTATTTTAATATTTAGTAATGTTAAAAGAATGCTTAATGTCCCTTGTATTTACATATTTATTTTATACATACCTCTTGTTTTTGTATCCAAAGTTTATCAAAAAAGGAAGAAAATTTTGAACATATAATTATCTATTCTTTTCCATTCATTATCAGAAGAAATTCATAGAGATATATTAAATAAGCTTGTCGTTAAATAAGATAAACGAATTTTTTGATCTTACAGGTTTCGGCGGTACATTTATAATAAAAAACGGGGAAACGATACATCATGTCTTACAAAATGATTGGGATGTTGCGATAACAAAGAGAAAACACATTAATAATTGCGTTCGATATTGGAAAGTTTAAACGCCTGTGATGGCATTTACCACGTTTGTTAGCGCAGACAGGCACAAAGTAATGTCACTCAAGGAAGTAATATTGATGTTTATAAGCTTCAAAACAGATATATGTCGTAAAATATTCGTAAACTTGATACTTTCCAGGATATTTATTTGAACCGATGGCACGTCACTGTTTTAAAAAATATTTTTATTGTTTTATTATTTTTTATATTTAAAAGATATCATTTACATATCTTTAACATGTCTATTAGAAATATCTTAAAAATATCTTCTATGATGGTTATTAATATCTTTTAGAATTATTTTGAAGATATAATATACATCTTCAACAAAATATTTCTGAACATTTTCTAGACATTTTTCGAATATGTATCTTTTAGAAGAGCCTTGAAGATTTCTTTTAAAACTCTTTAAAACCTCAATATTTTTTTAATCTCTATCATGATTAATTATTATTTATGGAATAAACTGGTTTTAATCATAAATAAAGCAAATGTTAATAAGCAACAAAACACGTTTATCGGTAACATATCTAAAAAATTCGCATTTAATTTGATTACTTTGGCAAATTGCAATCGAATAAAGATCGCGATGACTTCGATCAGATGTATACCTATATATCCCGTTCTCAATTGGATGATCACATTCGCGACTTTCTTTTGTGTATCCCAAAAAACAATCTCTTTATTCTTTTATCAGTATGTATCGGCAAGTCTCTCATCCTCACGGTCGTCGCTCCGCTCATCCGAATCTTCCTAACGTCATTAATCCGCAATAATCCGTTGGTCGTCTAAGTTATGCTAATTGCGGACAGACAGAGTCGCAGATGTGTCAACGGGTGGACGATGACAGTAAGGCTTCGACTACGTAGTGCCGGTCATCTTCGTGTATTCTCGTCTCAATAATTTCAGTATACATAACGCGATGAAGTTCAGCATAGAGTCCACAGCTTCCTACAATAGCATCCACCCGGCCTATCACTACACTGAGCAATTCGCCAACAATGGCGAGACCTATCGAGACGGCACCAAGTGGTACGGGGTGTTCCTGGCGTTTCTATCAGGCACTTTCTTCACTATCAGCTCCGCCTTAGTCAAAGCGGTTCGCAACGTAGATCCTATGATTTTGCTGGCTATTCGCGCCTTGATGCAGATCCTGACAATGGCTGTCGTGGCCTGTAGATCGTCCAGCGATCTCTTCGGCCCTTCCGGCCAAAGAATACTTATACATTTTCAGGTAAAGTTCGCTCATTACGGAACACGATATACCGATCATCTGCGAAGACAATACAGTCTCTGCATTTATTAAGATGTCTGGATCTGCCAGAGTTTTTAATTTTCTAACATAATTGGTATTACTTGTTAATCTACTTTCATGAGAGAAATGTCGGTCACTACAAAACTAGTCACTCTCTTCTTATCTGATTACGCATGTAAATGATCATGAGCTTATCTGCAGGCGTTCGCAGCTTTTCTACGCGACGTCTATCATATTAATTGCATTAAGCCGGAAAGTCGGCGATGAATATTATTCATTTGCAATATCTGCGTACACATGCATTAACGAAACTCTTCAGAAAAATTAAGGAATATAAAGACAAAGTCCTTTAATATATGAACTCTTTTCATGTGCTACTATCATCAATACACTATAATAATTTAAAGAGAAACATTTTTTTAGAATGAAACTCTGTTTTTTATGCGATCGCTAAACCGCTATATCGATTTACATTTTTTTTTTCTTTTTTCCAGGGCCTAGTAGGCGGCATGACTCTGTCGTTGCTGTACTATAGCTTTCGAGAATTACCTTTAGGCGATGCTACCACGATCATATTCAGCTCACCGGTGATCGTCATCGCGCTGTCTTTCTTCTTCCTAAAAGAACCCTGCGGTGTTCTGCGCATACTGGTAGTCTGCACGCTCCTAACAGGCGTTGTCCTCGTTGCCAGACCACCCTTTTTGTTCCAGGTAATCGAAGAGAAACTATAAAGAGAAATTATCTAAACCATGCAGAGTATCACTGAATACAGAATTAATTCGACGAGGATGAGCTCAACAGACAAAGCTGAGTAAATTTCACTGTGTGGAGCGCAATTGAGAATTATTAATATCTAATCTGAAATATTATTCAGATTATAAAGAATTTGTACAAAGGGCCAAACAAAATTATACAAATATACGAATTCTTTGTTTGTTTTTACATTAAAGAATTTGCTCTTTTATTATTAAATTCAAATTAATTTCAAGTAATGATTTCGAAAAAACGCTCATGAGATTATCTTCGTTCTCCAATCCTCGAGAATGACTTTTCTCTTTCAGATGCTTCGTGCCGAAAGCTATAATCTTATGGGATATCTGTGCGCCATTCTGGCCACTCTCTTCACGGCGCTCAACATCGTCGTCATGAGAAAGTGCTCGGAGATACATTACTCCATCCTGGTGTTAAACCTATCATGTTGGTCGCTCGTCTCCGCCGTGTTCTTCTACTTCACGGTATCAGGACACGGTATCGGTCATGAGCTCCACAAGTTTCGATTACCACACGATTGGTTCACCTGGGGCCAGATCCTGCTGGTGGCGTTGACTGGCCTTACCGGTCAGGTGTTGGTCACAAAGGCGCTTAAGATTGAGGGCGCAGGTAAGGTATCGGTCACCAGATCGTTGGATATCATCCTGGCGTATCTTATCCAGGTTTACCTGTTCGGCGAGAAACCCACGTCAACCAGTTTAACAGGCGCGATCCTCATCATCTCCTCCGTTGTCTGCATGGGTTTCGAGAAGGAGATCTACGCGGTCTGCGATTTCATTCCTTAGCCAATGAAACAATCATTCGGGCGATCGAATTTCGCGATAGAAGCAAGCGAGAATTACTAAAAGCTATTTTAATTTATATTTTAAAAAAAATCAAAGATTAGTAAAAAAAACAAAACGCTAAATATCAATAAATTTTTAACGATAGTATTAAGAGGTCAACGAATATTTAACTGTTCAATTTCTTATTAGAACAAGTTCCTGGTATCACACGTTGGAAAGATGCCGATTAATAGGTAGCATTCGATTATAAATAATTTTTTTGTATCTCTTCTTAATATTCCTTAAAATAACATACAATGAACATCAATCATCAGATTACCTAAAATCTTGATATCGATAATAATAATGGTAATAATAATAATACAATTAAATATATAAGTCGTAGTAATAATAACGATGATAATAATAATAATAAAGATATGTAATCAATTTCAAGACGAATTATTTATGCGTGCAAATATATACATAGGTGATAGTTGGATAGCAAAAGAAATGCACGTGTATAACTCGTTTATACATATATGTATAATATCTATTGACGATTTATTCAATGGGAAAAAAAGGTACAACTACATTAACAGAGTAAATCGCTATATCTCATATATATACATATATATATGTATATGTATATATACGTATATCGAAGGTAATACAATTATTTACATTAGATATTCTTTCGTCTACTGTAGTCCCTGACAAAAGCGCGTGGTTGCGCACCAGTCCTATTAATGTAGCTGGAGATTGGACCTACCTCTTTTTGCTTTTGACAGTGTGTGCTTATAAATCTATATATAATATATATTATATATATATATATATATATATACTTCAGGATTTAGTTTACACTTTTCGAACGGTAAATATAACATAAAACATATACATCTATCTCTCTCATACACACACACACTTTCTCTTCCTCTCTTGCACGTAAACACACTTTGCTACTCCTATCATCTTTTTCCCTCGTTCGAACTATGTGAAATCTTCATCATACAATGTTTTGTTATACCCTATGACTAATCTTATTCTATGTTCTTCCTTATGATTAAAGAGAAGTTACACAATTACTTACATTATGTACGGGTGGCTTCTCGAGCTTGAAAAAGGTATGTGTACATATATACTTCACATATATAAGGTTACTTCATTTCGCTTCGCTTTACTCTACCCTTTCTCGCTTCAATCTACATTTTTCTCTTCGTTTCGCTTGCATCGCCTTATACAGCTGATACACATCTTAGTCTCTTGATGTAATCGCATTTGCGCCTAATTGTCTTGCGATACATGTGCCGGTCGATTTATTTGGGTAAACGTCCGATCGAGAGTACATCCGTAGCGATATGACACAGGAATGTAATCGCATACGGTAGAGTCCTTTCGCGCAGAAGAAGGGCGAGAATCGAACGATTTATTCGCGCCACTCTCGCATTAACACGCTTCCTGTGTATACGTGCCATGTGTAAATATATGTATATATTTACATATATATTCTTCCGATATTTTTTTATTTTACATTGGTCATATAATTTTCGTCTCTAAAGCGTAATTCTTGCAACTGTACAGTGAAGGACACCTCGAGCTGTTATAATAACTCTGTCTCCCCTTTTCCCCTCGCACAGAGTGGCTCAGTTTCGCATCGTACACATATATAAATCTATATAGTATTGTTAAAAGGAAGTTGTGTTAGCCTTGTCGTACAGCGTGTGTGCGTGCGATAGAAAATGCTACGATATAAATAAGCGCCTCTCGAAAGAGATCGTAAAAATTGGATAAAATCGCGCCGATTAGATTAATCTTTTTACCACAGACTTCTTCAGTGATTTCTTTTTAATGATTTATTCAATGTTCATCACAGATTTTAAGATTTATTCGATTGGAAAAAAAAATTTTTTTTTAATGGAAAAGAAAACGTCCTTAACAGACGATAAAGTAACAAAATTCTATATTGATTTTCCTGTGTCCCTTCTATCGACTTTCGCTAGTTTTTCCTTCCTCCTTCGCTCCATAGAAATGAAGTTCTGGGTAGGCACTGCACGCCGTCGATTTTGTCACATCACAGTATTAAACAATAAAATGTACATCTTACCGCGAAGAAACGCGCTTCGAGAATGTGAAAATTTTTATCGTATTCAAAATACGTTTTGGTTACAAAAATAGGGCTCGTTTCTGTTTTTTGTCATTTTACCTTTTTCGTTTTTTCAATTTTTTTTGATTGATTGCCTTAATCAACGTCGTGGAGATATAAATACAGATGTCTAAAATACACGTGTCAATGTCAAACTAAGGAGGATACATTAAAGTGTTTCTTTTTTTTTTTCCTAAACATTCGGCAAACAATTGTTCTATTACAGCATATTGCACAATGTGCGTCGCTCTCTTTCTATCTCATTTTCTCTCCTCTCTCTCTCTCTCTCTCTCTCTCTCTCTCTCTCTCTCTCTCTCTATCACTCTATCAACGCTAGTTATCTGTATCTGTCGTGTGGTGTAAAAACGAGATCAATTTTCGATAACTGATACTTCAAATATACGATACAATAAAAAAAAATCGCTATCAAGATAATGTTATCAGATAGTTCGAAAAATTAGAAAGACAGAAGTACTGAATCTAATTCTCTCCATCTCGTCATAATTATCTCGCAAAAAATATTTAAATAGACCTGAAAAATAATATCTCATACATCATAATCATTCGTGAATTAATTATATTTTTGATCTCGTAATTTTTTAAACCGCCGAGTGTTTTCAATTAACGATTAATGACGTCAATTTACGTAACTTATACATGGAAAATATGCAAATATTTATACAATACAAAGAGGATTTATTAATTAAATAAATACGTGGAAACTATAAATCTGATAGTGAGAAGTACACGGAGAAATATATGTCTTCGAGAAGATTTAAAAAAGAAACATAAAATGTATAAATCTTTTATAATATTATATCAATATATATTTATTTTTAATGTGTCTATTTCATAGAAACTTAAATGAGATCTCTTTCTTATGCGCTATATAATCGCTATGTGTATGAAAAAAAGATATGTGAATTAGATAAAACTCACAACTCGCAGCCACGTAATAGAAATAACAATAGTCATTTATTATACGTCGAAAGTAGTAACAGCAATATTAATGTGGCATTTTTATACTTCCCATATTTTACAATTTTGAAATATATATATGTATATATGTATATATATTGCATATACGCATATATATAATATTAATGTAATATATATATATATATATAAATACACACACACACACAGACACACATATATATATTCTTTTTTCTATATATGATACCAAAAGAACCAACTTAAGAATATAACTAATATATGTACAAGAACATAAAATCATCAATTTTGTAAAATCTAACGTGCAGATCCAACAGAAATCCATTTTTACAGGACCGTCGGTGCGTCGCGGTGATTGTTTAGTATTCGAGACAGGGTTTATATCATAATTGGTTCTCTCTCTTCCTGTTTGCTCGTAAAATTGTGTGTATAACTATAATGTCGCATCTCAAAGAGATGATTATGTGATCACTCGCGAAGCATATATACTAATAGCGAATTCGATTGGATGCACTAATGCACACTAGTGTATATTAAAACCGTTGTACTGATTTTTTTCTGAGTGTAAAAGTGCAAATATTTCGAATTATAAAATATATATTTTATCTAATAGCAAAACAAAGTGAAGATTTTGCGGTTTAATCCGTTTCTATATATATATATTAATTAAATATCCATTTTTACGTCAATCTGTATACGACAGCTTTAATATGCAATCGAATTCGCTATAAATCATTACATAGAAATTGACATTCACACAAAAATACCCTACTACGTGCAATGTTTTACAAATATTATGTGTACAGTTAATCTTTCTTTTTCGAAACTACCCAAGTCTTTGACAATTTTTATAGTTGTCATTAATTCGTCCAATATTTTACGCTTTCATATATAATCATTTAAAATTTGTATTGTATTCAATATCATTTGTTTCGTTTTGACACAATAAATATCCCCTTTAAATCTTACTTTTTTTCTGTTTGAAAAAACAAAAAGCTGGATTAATAGAATAACGTTACAATAAAAATTTTATGTCACACAGATGTTAATCATATATTGATTGTAACTAACAAATACTAAAATAAAGATTGCATAGTAATTCAACACTTTACTCCTTGCCTTCGTTCGATCAATTCAGTAATCCAAAAGTAAAACTCCATGGATTAAAGGCCATGGCACATAGAACTTAAGACTTAAGCAGTAAGCGATTCGATCAATTATAGTACAGACCGTAAGACCATAAGTCTTACTCGGATAATAAGGGCCGTAGCAGAAAGGCTGACTTATGATGTCAAGACAGTTCTCGTGCGTTACTAAAGACAAGACTTTAAGTCATAAGACACTGTATTAAGATTATAAGTCAGCTTTCTGTTAAGGCCCTAAGTCTCGATTCACAATCTTCCTTTAAGAGACCTTAAGTCACAAGTCGAAAGAGATTAGACGATAATAATTTCTGTCTTTAAACTATTTTTGCGCAGTCTTTAAGTTTTAACCGTTAGACTTGAGCAAAATCCAATTTTTACGGCCTAAAAACATAAATTCTGTGGCCGATATATCGTCGCTTACAATTTACAACTTACGGTTTATAGCCTCTAAAAGGTTGTGAACTTAGCTTAATGTAAGAGTAGCGAATCCAATAAGTTGATTTCTTTACTGCTTAAGTCTATGTCTTGAATTTTTCTATGTGCAATACTTAAAATTAAATTATAATAATAAAAAAAGTAACATTAAAATATACAATCATTATGGAGTATAATCAGATCAATGTTTAGGATCTGTTCTCTCCATTTTATTTTCATAATATTCATATTGTAACGAAAATATAAAAAATTGTACCGTGTTTATATGTACTTTGTATTTTCCTCTTCGATCCAGCACATGTCAGTACTTCCTCGGAAATTACAATTTTACCGATGTTATATTTCAATACAAATTTTAAACCAAACAAAAAAATTCCAAACGATACAAAAGGGACACGGTGATGAGCTGCACACGTCGGATATAAAATAAATGATTTCATTAATATATATTGTGTATATATATATATATATATCAACATATATATCAGGGTTGGTAAAAAACATATTTTAAACATATTTTAAACAGTTTAAAAAAACATACTAAATTAATGTTTTCAATATATTTTAAATGTTTTTTTATATACTGTTTAAAGCATATTTGAAGCATTAAAAATATATTTAAGAAGAAACACAATACGTTTTATTATTAAAAAAAGAAAAAAAAATCATTAGCTTTACCAACCCTGATATATGTATGTATATGTGTGTGTGTGTGTACACACACACACACACACACAACAGTATGTCATAATGCATATGCAGTATACAATACATACATATACATATATTGATATCTGCCCTGTTATCAACATAGTTTAGTTCGATTATTTATCCATATATATATATATATATATGTATTAAAAGAGATGAAACTTGAGTCCACAGTATAATACAAAATTCCTGAAATAGTACCCGAGTAATGCTAATCGAATTAAAAGATGTTCAATAAATCCTTTAATACGTGAAACACGAAAATTCGAATGCAGCTAAAAAAGTTATATGTAGTCAATGGAATTTTGCGATGCTCGATAGAGAATTGAACAATATAATAGGGAAAAAGGAAAAGAGTGATGAGACAGCGGTGATGATAGAGGGACCTTAACAATCATCACTTCCCCTTGTAAAACAACAAACCTCATCCGTGATAAATAATTATGCGATTCGTTTAAACAAATATACTAAAGTAGAACAAACCTCCGCGCCGTTCTTCGGCTCGGATAAATTATTAAATCAAATGTGTATCGGCACGTGCACCAATAATTCGGCACGGCTGGAAAACACCGCGGCACACATCTCGCACGTATACTCCACTCTGTCCGGTATTATCGTTTCCGGGACATCGTCTACTGACGTAATAACACTATGTATAGCGAGCATCCTCGGTGGCGCAGACTCCACTTTGACACTGAGCTTAACGTTGTTATCTCTTGCCCCGTTGTCCATCTCATGCACAGTGCTGTGTGGCAATATGCTCTCCTCCTCGTCTTCTTGAGCAGTAACGACACTCGCCTCAAAAGCTACTTCCAGATTGCTGCCGTCCACTGCGTGCTCCATCAGTTGTACCTGATCGTCACTGATCTCCATGGTATTGTTATTGTTATTATTATTACGTAATTGTAACAACTGCTCCTGCTGTTGTTGCGGCTGTTGTTGTTGTTGTTGTTGTTGCGGCTGTTGTTGTTGTTGTTGTTGTTGTTGTTGCGGCTGTTGTTGTTGTTGCTGCTGCTGCTGTTGTTGCTGCTGCTGCTGTTGTTGTTGTTGCTGCTGCTGCTGCTGTTGTTGCTGCTGTTGCTCTTCTTTTACTATCAACGTGTTCAATTCCTGCTTTATTGGGTGCTTCTGCCTCTTGGTCCTCTTCGTAGTAATTGATTTTCTCTTGTTTGATGACTCCTGAGTTTTACTAAGGGCTAGAATATTACCATTGTTATTCCTGTGACTGTCACCTGTGGCCTTTTGCATGCCTGGCTCATGCTTAATGCTCGCCAGTAACTGCTGTGTCGACATCGTAGACACATCTTCCTTTGATTTCGCCGAGAACGTTGCCGGTATGAGCTGCGATTTACCTTCAATGTGGTAACTGACGTTCTTTGTGCGTGGCCGATTCCGCTCGCCACCCGGAAAAATGCCAGACTTGTGCTCATTCGGCATCACCTTTGGCGTCCGGGTCACCATCGTCTTTGTCTTCTGGCCCTTTTTCGCGCCATCGCTACCTACTTCCACC